TATTATCGCCTGGAGCTCAAGGTGTGCGAACCGCGGTTTAATGTAAACTACTGTGTATCATCTGATAATTGACAACCCCTTAAAGACTTGTCTTGTCTCTTTAAGGATGACATGTTTGTGCGGTCATAGTAATTCTTGTTGGCGAATTAAACATCAGTGAGAATACATCAGATGAACGCAGTATTTTACCTTTGTCTTTGTATACACTGAGGATGACTCAAACTAGAGTCGAAACGTATGTTATAATTTTGAACTGTAATAAAGAATGTAATTATAATTTTGAACTGTAATAAAGAATGTCAATTGCGCACCGTAAACAGCGCTGACTTGCCTTTGCCCATTTTACCGCATCATATCATATATTTTTATATAAAACATTTTACATCGCATACTATACAATCACATACTATATAATCTCGCCATTAAAATCTCATACAATTACTAATATTAATGTTATTCCATTAATTTTCATTTAATATTTTATTCCATATTATTCCATATTCCATATTATTCCATCCATTATTTTATTCCATAATTTTCATTTCCAAAATTTAATACTTATTGCTATTCCTAATATTTCCTCCATTATGCGCAGAGCCTAACGGGAAGTATATATCTTATATTTAATTTGATCATAACGTTGAAATCTTTGTGTTTGAGATAATGATACGATAGTGCGCGGCATCGATACTTTGTTTACTTTGATTGAGCGATATTGTGTACGCATGCGCATGGCGTTATCATTCAATCACCGGCACTCGTGCGGGCGAGCAGTGCTGCGTATCGCTTTGCGTTATCTTCGCGTTTTCTTTTCAAAAACGAAATCGCGACGAATTCTAGATACCTCATAATTTCATATAAATATGTGTCGATTTGATCCCAATCATGTTATATCTTATCTATCTATATTAATTAATAACTTGACTTTACATAAGTACAAAGTAAAATTTAATATGACGTGAGGTTTCAATAAATGTTTCGTCGCGGAATACAATCATAAATTTAATAATATTAATTTACTTTAATTTAAAAGATATTTCATTTTATATTAAAATCTTTGTTTATTTTTAATTTAAATCCTGACTTAATATTGTTAACGTATCATAGATTTTTTTCATTTACATTGTTTATTAAATTTATTTCTGCTCATATTATCGTATTTGATAAATTAAGTATTATATCATATCTGATACTTAGAGATACTTTATATTGGTTATAATAATTTGTAAAATTGCATATTGCATAATATTGGTTTGCTAATTATGCGAGAAATATATTATCTCGCTCGGATCTCACGTCATTCATTCTGAATTTTTTATATCATCTTAACTTGATTCATGATGAGATTTAAATAACGATTAAAAAATTAATATATTATTACATTATTCATCTTTATTACAACATAATTATGAAAAATCTTTGCAATAACAGCCACTCATGAAGTAAGTATAGTGAGAGACCTAATCGGCATCATGGAAAATCGACAATAATTTCGATATATTCGAATATCGATTTAATATGCCCTTTTTAGAAATGGATAAGAAAGATGTTTTTCCAAATAATAAAATGAATAAAACTTTGAATATTAAAAAAAAATCTAATCTATTTAAACATTTTTAACTTACATTTTTAACTTAACAGGAAATAATATCTTTAAAAATGTCAAATTTCGATATTTTTTGACACAAAATGTAATTCACGGTCGTTTGACTTCTCTTTGAAACGTTGCAAATGTGCCTC